AGAAAGAAAGAAAGAAAGAAAGAAAGAAAGAAAGAAAGAAAGAAAGAAAGAAAGAAAGAAAGAAAGAAAGAAAGAAAGAAAAAAGAAAGAAAGAAAGAAAGAGTTATGGAGTTAAGGCACCTGACCTCATCCAGTCTCCCTTGAGGACTACACTCTTCCCCTCTCTTCTACTGGAAGGCAGAGAGCTCCAGGCTAAGATGTGACAGCAGAGTCTAGAAAATGGCTGCTGATGACTGAGAGAGAGGTAAGGGCCTTTCCTGAAGACAGCTCAGCACTGTGTCTCCTCTCTCCTCTCTCTCCTGGGGGTGGTCTCCAAACTGTGACCAAAGGACTTCCAGACCCTCTTTTGATTACATTCTGCAAGAAAGGGAAGGGAAAGGAGAGTGGGCAGACAATTTTGCCTAGGGCAAATGAGCTGAGTGTTAGGCCCTCTGGATACACGCTGCTCTTGGCTCATGGGGAGCTGACCTGGATGGATTTGCTTGCTTTTCATCAGCTCAGCCCATCAATAAGAGACCAGAGAACAGAGGAAAGAATTCCAGTGTCCCATTTTCTGACTGGCCTTGCTTGAATGGTCTGGTTAATCCCACGGGGTGAGAATAAGACCACTACAATTTTTGAGCCAAATTTGAAGCAAGCTTTATTAAATATTGGCCAGGATGATAAACACTGGCCAGGTCAATACCCAGGATTCCCAGAACATGGCATCAAATCACATTAGCTAGAGGCTTATAAGGGCAAAACCCACAAGGATGTTCTTCCCACCTTCGCCCAATCAGGGGCAAGCATACATCCTGCCTTACTTCCTGCCTACGTGTGACCAAGCACATCCTGTGCAGTTGGGGCAACCAGTCTTTTTTACAGAGGTGAATACACATGACTTGTTATCTCATGTGAGCAACAGCCCCAGCATTCCAGGAAGTCATCTGTCCTTGGCAGGTGGGGCTCACAGGCTAGAGGCATCTTTGTTTTATAGATCCCTTGAGCACAGTGATTTAACCCTGAACCTAACATCAACCCCCGCAGCCTGTGCCCCTCTTTTGAAGGCTCCTTCACTGTTCTGATGGCTCACTCTGCATTTTCTGCATTCATACAGGTTTCTTTCTCCGGCTGCCAGCAGGGGATTATGTAAAAACATTTTTATTACATTTATTTATTTTTTTTGTAGGGGGTGATACAGTGTGTATGTGGAGGTCAAAGGACAAATTTTGAGAGTTAGATCTCTCCTACCACTCTGTGGGTCCCGGGAATCACACTTAGGACATCAAGTGTGGCAACAGGTGCTTTTGTCCTCTAAGCTGTCTGGCCAAGCCAGCCTAGGCCCCTGCATCTTCCTTTATCCCTCTCCCCAGGGTCTGACAGATTACGGGTTTAAGAACACAGCCACCACTCCACCCCCACCCACATATAAGATTGCTCACACTTCAGACAGCAACTGCAACTCTGGGGTTCCCTCGGCTGTCCTCACTTTTGACCAGCTGGTAACAAATCTGGGGATTTCCTCTTCTTCCTCACAGAGAACTCAGTGTAGCCTTGGATGTTTGACCAACAAGAGGATGCAAAACAGGACAGTCTAAAGAAGAGGCCAGGAGGATCCCAGACACAATGCTTCCTTTTACTGAAGGGACCTGTGGTTCCCCTACCACATGAGCCTGTGACAATAAGCATGGTCCTGCCAACCGGTAAAGCTCATCTGAGCCACAGTGTCCTATGGTGACATATTGTGTACCCTAATACAATTTGTCTGAAGATCAGAGGACAGAACAAACCACTAGAATAAACATAGATGCCAGGCAGTGATGGCACATACCTTTAATCCTAGCACCTGGGAGGCAGAGATCTGTCTGGATCTCTGTGAATTTAAAGCCACCGTGGACTACATGAGATTGACTCAGTCTAGGAGAGAAACAGCAAGGCAGTGGTGGCCACACCTTTAATCCCAGTACTTGGGAGTCACAGGCCTTTAATCCCAGTACTTGGGAATCACATGCCTTTAATCCCAACACTTGAGATTTCATGCCTTTGTTTGGGAAGCACACACATCTTTAATCGCAGCGCTAAGAAGGAAGTGATGGCTGGGCGGAGAAAGGAATATAAGGCATGAGGAGACAGGAACTAGAGCCTTTTCAGGCTGAGGAGTCCTATGGGTAAGACATGGCAATGGCTTATTCCTTTATCTCTCTGATCTTTCAGCACTTACCCCAATACCAGGCTCCAGGTTTTTTTATTAGAAGACCGTTTAGCAACTCGTGTAACAGTGTCCACATTTTATTCGGGTTTCATCACACAGCACCAATGATGGACTGTCCATGTAGTTGAACTTGATCTTTAATCCCACATCTGTCCCCAGAGGTAGGGCACTTATCATATGGCTCAAAGTCCCAACTCTAATCCTATGCTTAGACTTTCTGGCATGACTATTCCCCCTCCTGAGTGACCTAGAAGTCATGAGTCAGCTCCTTCTGCATAAACAATCCAATGTGGTCCAAGAAGCCTTTCCCTCAATTAAGACCCCATGGCCACTCAGAGAGTCCCAAAGGCCATGGTGTGATGGTTTGTCTGTAGCCTCAGGACTCAGGAGGTAGCAGGAGGAACAGAGAGAGAGAGAGAGAGAGAGAGAGGGTTCCTCTTGTCAAGCCTGATGACCTGATTTTGACCTCCACAAGCCACGTGGTAGAAGGAGAGAACCAGGTAGCTTCCTGTCCTCTGACTTCCAAGGCATAGGAGCATACACTTAAGTAAATGTAATAAAATAAATATAGATAAATAAAACTTACGGGAGGAAAGTGGAAAGAACAAGGTGTGTGCCTTGTGTGCTTTCTGTAGTGATCCATGAGTCCTCCAGCACCCACATAAAAGCCAGGCATTGCAGCAGGTGACTGTGACCCCAGCATTGCGGAGCAGAGCTGGCAGGTCTCTGGGTCTCTCCATATTCAGTGAAGTCAATAAACAAGCAAACATCACAGATGTCATTGTTTTCATTGTCATGTCACATGAGTGTCATCAATCTTTCCCTGTTAGAATATAAGCCCTTTGAGGCAGAGACTGTACACAAGTGTAGCCCTGTCCAAACGAAGGATGCAGGCTTGGTGGCCCTTCACCCTCCCCACACATTCTGTGCCTCTAGGGCAGAGCAGGGAAATAGGTGCCCAGGGTCATGGTGCCCCGGCATTGAAAGACTCCCCTTGTGGTTACCACCTGGCTCACAATGACTTTCTCCACACCCAGACTCAAGCTCTCTTCCCAGGACACAGTTGATGGAGATACAAGCTCTGATCGCAGACAGTCCAGTGTCAGCAGAGACCTATCTTCAAAGGCATGAAGGACGCCATCAATTAGTGGTTTCAAGTGAGTTCCAGCCTGAATTCAGACCTCACGATCACAGAAAGGGATCCAGGTTCCAATGCAGAATGACGCCTCCTCGTCCTTCCTCAGTCCCCAATCCTTACTGCTTATCTCCAGTCCTCAGCCTGCAGATCACAACAGCCTCTTACTTCTGTCCCTGTTCCCTCTTTCAGCTCACGTCTCTTCTTTCCTTTAAAAATGATTTATTATCTTTTAGGTTATAATAGATTACATCATTTCTCCCTTTCTCTTTCTTCCCTCCAAGCTTCCCATATACTCCTCCCTGCTCTCTTTCAAATTCATGGCCTCTCCTTTCATTAGTTGTTACGTGTGTGTGTGTGTGTGTGTGTGTGTGTGTGTGTGTGTGTATTCCTAAATAAATACAACCTGCTCCATCTGCATACTGTCACGTGTTTGTATGTTTTCAGGGCTGACGGTTTGGTATCAGAAAACCAATCGGTGTGCTTGTCCCTGGGGAAGCTTACATGTTATAGCTCTTTCCCTTAGCCGCCCCCTATAGGTAGAAGATAAGTCTCTGTTGCTGAAGACATGCACTTCTGACATTGGGCCCAGAGTCCCCTGAGCTGGATCTGACCTGAAATCCTGCTCCCTGAGGACTAGCTTTCATGGTGCTAGAAGACTCCATGCAAGCTTCCAAAGGAGAGAGGCAGCCAATAGTCCTACACAGCTATGGCACCTATAAACCACAACACTAACTAGAACAATAACACTAAAGGTTAGCTCACTTGCCTTGGCAGTACACAACAGCCCTCTAATCAGACTTAAGACCCACTTAACAGGAGGGAAGCCATGCTGAGTACCGGAAACTTAGCCAACTGCCCAGGGCTAGTGAAGTCATGGATCTTTGAGAACCTACAACCACCATTTACTAAACCAGCATAACTCCTAACTACACTCTAAATGTTTGTCCTTGTGCCCACAGAGAAGTGTGGTCCTCACCCCTCATCGAAGAATCTTCTCTTCACAACAGACTGAGACCACTACAGAAAACCACAACCAATCAAAATTCAGGGTTGTGGAGCCCAGTCCCAACTAGTACATCTACTTCTTAATTCATTACAGCTCAAGGTCTCAGAACTAGGCTAGGAGTGATGGACAGAGAGCTGGTGGAGTAAGAAACATAGGCAACACTGAGTGAATAAATACAGGCTGTGTGTACAGTAGGGACCTGGTATATCAGCACCAGACCTTCCTTCTTCTATCTCTGTAGTACTATGTTATTCATGGTTTGCATATCATTACCATATTCATGCTTGGCTCTTGCAGAAATCCTGAAGACATGTGTGAAGTAGCACTTATACCAAATAATACACCAGGGTAGACGATCACATTCAGACATGGCATTCCCAGCAGCACATGCCATGTGCCCTGCTTGAAGAGCTTCATTAAGGCAGACCGGAGCAGAGAGCTCAGTCCAGTGCCCCCTCCACTGGGTGGCCCTCCACAATCACTGACCAGACTCTAGGTCACCCAGTTTGATTGTCCTTGCCTGAGCCCCTTACCCCATCCTGAATGTTTTTTCTGGGTTCTTCCTGAACTCAGCTATGCCACCAAGCTCTGACGAGACCTTGTTATTTTCACAGCTGTAAGGGCAAACTCCCAGAGCAAAGGGAAGATTTGGTGAAGAGGTTATGCCTAATGCCCTTAGCTGCTGCCAGTCCAACTTCCCAGAGGCAAAATCCCAGCCTCCACTGAGATGGCAACATTGGTCAGACGTGGCCAATCCTGGCTCCCACCAAAGGAACCTTCCTTGGCAAGCGGCTCCATGCCACTGCCAACTCTGTCCCCTTAGGTTAGGGAGCACCTTGAGCTGGCTTTGGGCTCTGTGCCAGGAAAGGTCCCTGAACCATCAGCTCCAGAAAGGGGATTCAGCCCCAACAGCACTGTGGACAGATCTCTGAAATGCTCCTCATAACACTCCCCTCCCCACCCTCAGGGCAGGGTTCTACCATCTGTGCTAATCACAAGGCACAGGATTTGTGAAAGGACCCAGGGGGCAGGGCTAGTCTTGGGATGTGTGCTGGAGGGGAGGGGAGAGAGAAGGATGTAGGGATCTGAGACAAAGGGGAGAAGCAGTGAGTGAGTGTCTCTTGTGTCCTAGAGGCCTCATGACACCCTCTCCAAACCTTCCAAGAAAGCTGAGGGTGTCTCCAGTTCACACTACAAGCTCACTTCCACTCTTACAACCATCTCTGCCCACCTGACCTCTGACCTCAGTGTGACATCAGAGGTTCCCCTTCCAGGTCCCCCTCCAGCTTTCCCACCCTTCATGCCTGACCCCACTCTCCTAAGCCTCTGGGTCTCTACCAAAAGCTCTAGACCAAACTGGCACTTCTACGTCCTTGGCTGTGCAAGGAGTATCCCCCAGAAGGCTAGAGGCACCTTCTGTGGCCCAGGGCTTAGAGAGCAACCTCAAGGACTCCCCCGACACATCCACCCTCTCCGGGCCAAAGAGCTGGTATGCTGTTGATTTCCACATAAATAACTCATTATTTTATGCTCCAGACCAGAAAGCCCCACACGTGGAGTTAATTTCCATCCTGACAGAGGGCCAGTACCAGCCAGAATTGGGAGGCTTGCTCAATACCCCCTGGGCACTGCTGTTTCCATCACAGGGTTAATTAGTCCCCAAGAGCCCCTGGCCCAGGGAGGCTGCTCAGCCCAGGAGGCCGGAGACTCAGATGACAAATCTGTTTCTGTCTATGATTGTATGTCCACCAGACGAGGACTGTGCCCCCCACCTAGTTTCCCCATCTGCAAAATGTGATCACAGTGAAACCCTGTGATCTCCAAAGTATTTCCCAGGCTTGAGGTTCCCATGACATCCTGTGACTTCCCAGCAAGCAGCCTACTACAGACCAGGAGGACCTTCCAAGTCAGTTGTGACATTTTAGTCATCTGATCTGCAGCATTGCTTAGTAGCACTGGAAGGTAGTCCTTGACACCCTATGACTCTGATGACCAACTACTCATTCTAAGGCATCTTTTGACATTTACAAGAACTCATGATACCTTGTGACATTCTTTGACATTCCAAAGCATCTTATGACATTCCTCCACATTCACCTTCCCTTTGTGCCATTCTAGCCATGGTATTCCGTGGCATTCTGTGACATTCTACATTCCTACCATGTGGATTTGTTCTGCTTCCAAGGGGCCTCCATGACATGACAGAAACAACTGTCTCTCTACTCCATGCACCCTGCATCTCCCCCATCCAAGGCCCATGACTTCTGTGGGTAGACGGCCTTGAGCTTGGTTATGCAGGTTCTTGGGGGCACTTTGACAGCCAGTCTCTCCAGCAATAGGAATCTCCTGTTTTGCACCTGAAGAAACCCACCCTTTGCCCCTCACTGCCTCTAAAACAGTTCAATGAATGGTTCCTTCCTTTAGGATAAATGGGGAGGGGGTGTCCTCCAGAGCAATAGTTTAAGCATACCAGATATTTTAAATTCTTTGGTCTAAGGGAATGGCAATCTTGTGTGGTTTGACCAAGTATAAGACAAAGGAGCTGGGTCCAAAAGCCAGACAGCCCCAGGGACAAACAGATTGTGATCTGTTCGTTGTAAACCCCATACCTCCCTGGCTGTGGCCACAAACGCAGAGGGACGAAGATAAGGTCGCAGAGGGTGCAGTGAGGCAGGGCAGCAAGTTCTCCAAGGCAGCGACCAGAACACGAGGAAGACTTCAAGGTTTTCCTCCCCTAGGGGAGCAGTGCAAAACAGCTGTGAAAAAGAGGAACTGGGTTTGGGGCTCAGGCCCACTTCCTCCTCCCTGTGGCTTCTCAAGAACAGGATTCTCTTCTGTGGGCCTCAGCTCTTCCATCTATCAAATGGGTAGCAGATGGGTCACCTAGCTTTGCTATGCTGGGCTTCTCAGCTGAGGGAAACAGGTAATCTTGATGTTTGAGTGTGCCATCATAGTGGGTAAAGCCCACTGGTGAATAGGTTAAAACTTAAGGGGCTGGGGACTAGTCAAACCTGACTAAATGCTGTGCTCTGAGTAGCCAAGTAAAACAGTGTAAGGATCTCTTCCATTGCGTTTCAGGAGAGCAGTACCAAGGTTCTCTACCCAGAGGTACAGACAGACAGGACCTACCTGTCTGCACCCTCTCTACTCCTCCCAGCACACACCCCCCACCCCCTCCCCGTGGCCCTTGAATAGCAAGGACCTGAGTCCTTGCAGAAACCTTAAGAGACTTCGCCCCCTAGTGACCAAGATCTGTCATTGCCGCTCAGGGCTCCTGGCCCTGGAAGGTGGCCAGTTCTTGTTGACTTGCTGGTTGGCCTCTGAAGGGAAAACCCTAGAGACCAGAGTTTGGGAAGAAGGTGACTAATTATGAGGCAAGGTTTGAGGGCTGGAGGCTGTTGAGGATGCCTCATTAATTGCACATGAACAAATATTAAGCACCTACTGTGTGCCAGTGGCTGGGTTTTGGGATCCAGTGTTAAACAAGACAGAGTCCTTTCTTACAAAGGAGGTCACACAGTCCAAGGCTTGTTGGCTGGCTGAGGACCTACTGTGTGCCATGGTTTTAACTCTTGATACTCTTCACAACAACCATGAGAAGTGAAAATTATTTGCATTTTACAGGGAGGGAAACTGAGGCTCTTGGGGATTAAAAATCGGGGCTTCAATTCTGACTTAGATCTAGATGATTTCAGAGTTGTACATCTCATAAGCCTGTGGTAGTCACCTCCTTTGGAAATGGACAGTGAAGTACCTGGTGGGTTAAAGGTCAAGGTGCTGAGTTCCTGCCCTTCTCACAGCAGAGGGCCAGACGCTGTCTGGAGACAGGAGCTGAGATCACGAGAGCCAGGATCACGGCATTGCTCTCATTGTTGTGACCTTCCCTGGTCTAATGCTCCTGAGGGGACACCAGGCCCATGCTGCGCTGTGGGGATGCAGTGGCAGTGAGCCTGAAGTCAGGACTCTGTGGGGAAGCATCATGTCACCTAGAAGGGCTGATGGGACATAGATGACTGCTAGTGACCCTGGAGGGAGTTGTTCATGACTGAGCTGAGGACATTGTATACAGTGCTTCTGAGTGACCATGTGTGTGTGTGAACAGGTGAGGTTGTGGGTGATTGACACGGAGTGCTACTTGATGATTTGGAAGCTCACTGTGGGTAGGTGACTTTGTATATGCTGGGCTGATACGGGACAATAGAGCTGGCTGTGCAGGGTGACATTTTCTATAACTTTGGCTATGCTGATGAGCTGGGAGAGGGGCTAATTGCACAAGTGGTCTTGGAAAATAAGAGGCCAGAAAACTTCACAGCTCCCAGAGCCCACCAAGAGTGCCCCTCCTTCCCCAGGTAGCTTGGGTCCCTCTCTCCCGATCTCCCTACCATACCTTCTAGTATTGTGCATGTGTGGTGCGTGCGTGCGTGCGTGCGTGCGTGCGTGCGTGTGTGTGTGTGTGTGTTACTAGGGATGGACCCATGGTTTTGCACATACTGCACTGTAGCTCTTCTCACTGAGCACCATTTCAACTCTCCAGTTTTAAAAGGGAGAACAAGTGGCTAGGGATGCAGCTCTGGCGGGGCCTCACCCAGCATACGTGAAGCCCTGTTTGGATCCCCAGCACCACATGGCATAGCGGCTCATGGCTATAATCCCATCACTCTGGAGGGGGAAGCAGGAGGATCAGAAGTTCAGTGTCAACGGGAGGCAGAAAGATTGTGAGAGCTGGAGGATAGAGACAAGTCCTGTGAAATGCTGTCTTCCAGACTCGATGTGCCTGAAATAGTCACACAGCAGCTGTGGCTACTGTACACACACAGAACAAAACAAAAAACCCAACCTGCAGGTAGGTTGGGGACTGGTTGGATGTGAATATGTTCACAATGCAATGTATATATGTATGAGATTGCCAAAAATGAAAGAAAAATGAAGTTCAAGGTCATCTTTGGCTACAGATGAGTTCAAGGCCAAGTCCAGGATACATCTCAAAATATATAATATAAAGTAATAATAATAAGTAAGATAACATGCACCTATTATCTGTATCCTTTGGGAAGGAATTGAAGCAGTGCTGGAGCGATGCTCAATGGTTAAAGATTGCAGAGGACCTTATTTCAGTTCCCAGGGCACACATGGCAGCTTACAACTGTCTAACTCCAGTTCCAGGGGATCTGACGCCCTCTTCTGGCTCCACAGGCACCAGGCAGGCAAATGTACATGTACGCACATTCAGGCAAACACACATACAAATGAGTAAATCTAAATCAAGTTTTTAAAGAACTGAAACAAATGTGAGCAGTTGTTTGTCCTAGTCTAAATGGTCCAACCATGTGTGACTCTTACACTCTTCCTTTGATAATCCTGATTTTTTTCTTTGCATTGCTGGGGATAAAAACCATAGCCATCAATCACATGCTGGACAGGCACTCTACCACTGAGTTCCATATCCAGCTGCCTTTCAAACTCTCAAAATTATTTTAGAAAGTAATACATGGCAGAATGTATTATCTACCAACCTAGTGTTGTCTTGTCAGGTGCTGGGCTTCCCACAGATTGGGCACTGGGTGTTCACTACCAGATGAGACACTTCAGCCTCTTGCATTTTATAACTAGGACAACTCAGGCTCAGAATACTTTATTAACCTCTCTTCCAGTACCAGTTAGTGAGTGGTGGAACCAGGATTCAAACCCAGCTCTACCTACCTAAGAGATATTCTTAGAGATGTGCATAATACATGACTTCTGTCTCTTCCACTTCTCCTAAACATTACTTTTTAAAAAAGATTGGTCAATAAAAATAATAGAGTAGACGGGCAGTGGTGGTGCACATCCTTAGTCTCAGCACTCAGGAGGCAGAGGCAGGAGGATCTCTGAGTTCAAGGCCAGCTTGGTCTACACAGTAAGTTCCAGGACAGCCAAGACTACACAGAGAAACCCTGTCTCAAAAAAACAATAAATAAAATAATAGATTATAAAAACCTCCCTCGGAGTAACTAGCATTTTTGGTTGATCCTGGACACTTCCAGACATTAAAAGTAATTTAAATTATATTTGTGTGTTCATACATATATGTGTGCATGTGTGTGCATGCACACATGTGTATCTATGTGTGTGTGTGTGTGTGTGTGTGTGTGTGTGTGTGTGTGTGTGTGTGTGCTCTCAGAGGTCAGAGAACAGTTTGTAGGAGTTGGTTCTCTCTATCTACTCAGGCTTGGTGGCAAACATCTTTACCCAATAAGCCATCTCAGTGCCTGTGTACATAAGTGTGTGTTTTACAGTGTCACAGATGTTAACATATATCATGGCCTAGAAATGGGGATAGAGTTTGCTTGCTCATTCTGTCTTCCAGAGCCCACAGCCTCCAAGAAAACCAGACAGACAGAAGCTAGACTGCACCAAGACTTAGTCCTGGAATCACATGCTATCATTGCACCATATTCTACTGGCCATGGAGTCAGCTCTGACTCAGTGTAGGAGTTGTCTGTAGAGCAGAGTATGAGGTTTGGGCTTACCAGAAGCTGACTAGTCAGCCAGCCACAGCGGCTTCCCACATGTGGGGAACATCCAGTGCCTATATCAGTCAATGGCAGCTCAGCAGTGCCTGCATTTCTCACTGGTTGGGGCCTGTTCCCACAAGCACAGATTCAGGGGCGCCTACACTGGGCCATGTTACCGCACAGGCACCCGGACTTCAGGGAAACAGGTGAGGGTGCCATGTGTGGAGGTCAGAGGACAACTTTCAGGAGTTGGTTCCCTCCTTCCATGGATTGGTTCCCCGGGCTGGTGCTCAGTCATCAAGCTTGGTGGTAAGTGCAACTTGACTGTCTCACATCTCTTTCTGTGTCTATTTTGTTCACAATTGTGTCCCACTAGGAGATGACATTCCCTAGCCCACTATTTCAGAAGTCATATTCAAAATTAAGAAAAAACCCACATTAGTAATTTTCAAAATGCTAAGCCCATTTACACACAGAACTCTGCCGGCCGGCAGCACAGATGGGAATATCCGGTAGATAGTTTTCATTGCATTT